CAAAAGCAGCAAACGATGCTGCTATATCTTCTGCAGAAGTAACTGCAGCAGCAGCAGCAGCAGCAACTGGCGGTAAACACTCCTGGGTTATGTGTGATATGAATCTACCCAGCAGCCATACAAAAATGCTCGTCTTTGAAATACTCGTATGCAGCCTCACCACCGCGGTAACACAAACCCTAAACCCTAAACCCTAAACCCTAAACCCTAAACCCTAAGCCCTAAACCCTAAACCCTAAACCCTAGACCCTAAACCCTAGCGGGCATAGAACCTGAAAAATACACACCGTAAATGCATACTAAACACTAAACCCTAGCAGATACAAACCCTTGAAACACCCTAAACCCTAAACCCTACCAGACGAAAACCTTATATATATACTAAACGCTAAACCCTAGCAAACACAAACCCTAGTGAACACAAACCCTAGACGACACAAACCCTTGCTGCTACAAACCCTAGCAGCAGCTGCAGCTGCATGTTGCACGTTGATTTTCACATATTTGTTTGTATTTATATATAAATATAAATAATATTTATAAATGAATAATTTATTTATATATATTTTATTTCTGCATGCATATACAGGGAGAAAGAGTGCAGCATATGATGGCTGAGCAGACACCTGAACACGACCATGTACCCTGGGTAACTGTAGACAAGCAACACTCTGTGAGTTTTTATTTTCTTTTTTTCCTCTATCTTTCTCTCTCTGCAAGGGTTTAGGGTTTAGGGTTTAGGGTTTAGGGTTTAGGGTTTGAGGTGCTGTGCCTTTAAGCAATCCCTCTACAAGTGCGTCCTTAACAGTGTGGTTTCGGTTTGGGGTATCTCTAGGGTTTAGGGTTTAGGGTTTAGGGTTTAGGGTTTAGGATATTAACTGTGCGGTTCCGGGTTGGGGTTTCTTTAAGATTTAGGGTTTAGGGTTTAGGGTTTAGGGTTTAGGGTTTAGTGTTTAGGGTTTAGGGTTTAGGGTTTAGGGTTTAGGGTTTGAGGTGCTGCTGCAGGCGGTAGCAGAGAAGGACCTCCGCTGCGCCATCTGTACTTCTGCTGCTGGCGGTGAAGAAAGTCTAAGAGAGTTCTGTGCAGGGAAGGAAGGATGCGACAAGCAGCAGCAGCAGCAGCAGCAGCAGCAGCAGCAGCAGGTGCTGCAGCTGCAGCAGGAGAAGGAACAGCAGTCACAGCAGCAGCAGCAGCAGCAGCAGCAGCAGCAGCAGGATGCTGCTGCGAATCTCGTGGTGACAGACATATACCGCATTGCTTCTCAGGAAGAAGTGTAGCTGCATATACACCCCAAGCAGCAAGAGCAAAAAGCAGATATATTTGTTGCTGCTGCTTTGGCTGTAGTAATTACCACTAGCCACTGATGCTGCTGCAGCAGCTGCAGCTGCTGCAGCTGCTGCAGCTGCTGCAGCTGCTGCAGCTGCTGCAGCTGCTGCAGCTGCTGCAGCAGGCTGGCTTCGGTTGCTGCTGCAGCTACAGTGATTCCTGCAGCAGCAACCCTGAGGTGTACAGACACCCCACAGCAGCGAGAAGCCTATTTCCGCTTCTTCCCCAGCGCAGCACTTCACTTTCTGTTTACATCGCTACTTTGTTCTCTTTAAAACAAAACAAAAATAGAAAAGAAGTACTGAGCCACTGCAGTTGCTGCAGCTGCTGCAGCTGCTGCAGTTGCTCCAGTTGTTGCAGCTGCTGCTGCTGCTGCTGCTGCTCCAGTTGCTGCAGCTACTGCAGCTGATGCA